TCGCTCCGTCTGCAGAACTCGCTTCTTCCACGTGGTCCTTGAAAACAGAAGCTATGGTCTCGAGCTTTACCGGCGTCTTCTTAGCGAAGGAAAAAGACACGCCGATCTTCTGCAGCGGAGTTCCCAGCGTGCTCTTGATGCCGAAGCTGATGGCCTGCGCTGTCTGGACGGGCGTTTGGCTCGGCGTAACGGCACCACCAACCTGCCCGGCGTTTAGGAAACCTCTGTCCAGCGGCATCTCCGTCGCCTGGCCAGAAGCCATCTGGGTGAAAGAGCTGCTGTTGGCTGCAGAATCGTCGTCATCTCCACCTTCCTCGTCCACAGCCACCGTGGTGGTTCTGAACATGGGGCCGCTTCCAGGAGCGCTGCGGGAAGAAGTGAAAAAAACCAGAGAGAACTGCTGACTGCTGTTCGTACACGTCTCATCTATAACGACTTTTTGCACATTCCGAGTAGTCTTGGATCCAGACACACGCACTCAAACGGCATTATGCATTAATTAAGATTAAATAACGGAAGAAAACATATTGCTGGATGCTCTGCACTACTGATTTAGTGCAGTCACTCCTACTACGAGGCCAAACTGAAGCAGGAAGTTTTAACCTCAAAACTTGTGCAGGATTACTCCGCTCTGGTGAGACCTCACCTGGAGGACTGCATCCCGCTGTGCAGGCCTCAGCACAAGGAGGATGTGGCCTTGTTGGAGCGGGTCCAGAGGAGGCCACAAAAATGATCAAAGGGTTGGAGCACCTCTCCTACGAGGACAGGCTGAGAGAGTTGGGGCTGTTCAGTCTGGAGAAGAGAAGGCTCCAAGGAGACCTTAGAGCGGGCTCCCACTGTCAGAAGGGGCTACAGGGAAGGTGGGGAGGGGCTGTTCACATGGCAATGGTTTTAAACTGGAGCAGGGTAGATTTAGACTGCATGTTAGAAAAAAGATTTTTTACAATTAGGGTTCCTACGAGGACAGGCTGAGAGAGTTGGGGCTGTTCAGTCTGGAGAAGAGAAGGCTCCAAGGAGACCTTAGAGCGGGCTCCCACTGTCAGAAGGGGCTACAGGGAAGGTGGGGAGGGGCTGTTCACATGGCAATGGTTTTAAACTGGAGCAGGGTAGATTTAGACTGCATGTTAGAAAAAAGATTTTTTACAATTAGGGTTGCCCAGTGAGGTGGTGGAGGCCCCATCCCTGGAGACATTCAAGGTCAGGCTTGATGGGGCTTTGAATCAACCTGATCTAGTTAAAGATGTCCCTGGTGGGCAGCAGGATGGCCATGAGCCAGCAGTGTGCCCTCAGGGCCAAGGAGGCCAACGGCTTTCCGGGGGGGGGTAGGAA